TGTACCCCTCAAAACACATATAAAGATACCCACACATACACACACAAAAAAGGAAAAATACATGTTGGGGAAAGGGCCTCATATTATGCACCTGATTTTCTGTTTAAAAATTTTTTAAACATTCTTTAAAAAAAAATTCTGTTCAAAACAAAAAAATACTGTTTGTAACTTGAAACCAGGCTGACCTCAATGATTTATGCTGACCTTTTCATTCACTACTAATTTAGACTTTTGAAAGTCAGGTAATCTATAACAAATTTGTTCATAAATGCTAAACATAGTAGGTATAAAAGGAAGCCAGCTGTGGTTTTTACTACAATGATTAGACGAACTAGCTTATTATGGGTGCAATTTGGCGGCAAATCTGTATACATGTGGTGCCCGAGAGCAAACTCAAACCGAGCTACACCGCAAGCCTAAGGGGTAATATGGAAAACTGGACTTTCCTCAATGAGATGTTAGCATGTGCAGAAGTGCAAACTTTGCCCAGCTACTGCATGCCAATAACCATTTACAAACTGCAACAAGCCTCCCTCCAAAGTTGGTACTCTACTTTCTACTCCCAATTTCCCAACATGGTCTCCTTGGTTTTTCTTGTTTGTTTGTTTGTTTTTTGTTTTGTTTTTCTTTTTTCAAATGGTCAGGTCCAGGCTGTCTCTGGTTGGTGATCGTCTAAGTATCCACAATTCCATGAGAACCCTCCCCCCAGATGTCTGAGAGGATTTCTGGAGTTAGGTAGAGATGAGATACAGGATGCAGTTTCATCCCTTAGGGTTGGGGGAAGGTACAGGCTTTCGATCAACTAGTCTCAGATTTTAATCCTAGTCTCTACATGATGGTTATCTTTAAAACTGATGATAGTCAATACTGTAGGATATTGTACTATCAGGATAGAATTTATTACTATAACACAGTTAAAATATTAAGTATGATTTTCAGCTTTGATCAGCACACAGAAGTTCCTACGCAAATCTCTGGACAAGACGTAGCCATTGGAAGTATGATGGACTTTCTTAAAAATGCCAGCTAAATTATCATCCCATTATGTTTTAGATTTTCTTGTCTGAGTATCACAAGTGTGCCGAGGCCCATGGAGTTCAGAAGAGGATGGTGAGCCCTCTTGAACTAGAGTTACAGATGATTGTGAGACACCATGTGGGTGCTGGGAACCAAGCGTAGGTTCCCTGAAAGAGCAGTCAGTGTTCTTAACTGCTGCGTCAATTCTCCAGCCTCCCAAAGTTATTTTAAGTCATTGATAAATCACTTTATTGCAGGTTGAGGTAGCGCACACCTTTAATCCCAGCATACAGGAGGCAGAGGCAGACAGGCATCTCTGAGTTTGATGTTAGATCACCTACACAGTGAGTTCCTGGTCAGCCAGGGCAACACAGTGAGAGTTTGTCTCAAAGAACACAGCCATTGATATTAATTAATTAAAGAAGGAAAGAAAAAAGAAAGAGAACTACCAAATTGTTTCCAAGCCTGAAAATAATCAACATTATAAAAAAAATCTGTTTTTTATGTTTACATAAGAATTTAAACAAAAATGTTATACATGGTAAATATTTATTTTTAAAATTCAGCTGACTAGCTAACCTGATCATGGGTTCACCTAGTGGTATGTAGATTAGGTATAAAATGAAACCAGCTGTAATTTTTAAAGCTGTGAATGGCACCAAGAAACATGCAAAGCCATCCAAATGTTTATAACCCAGGGATTCCTCTGGGACTCAGTGCCCTGCCTTGATGGTTTTTTTCAAATGAGAAGAGTCGGGCTTTGTTCGTACTTGAATTATGTACTTTGCATAAGCCGTGCAATTTAACTTTAACCCACAGGCCCGGAAATAAAATTAGCTCCGCCCGCAGAACGCAGAGGCCAAAGAATAACACGCCAGTGAGAGTCTCTCCTGCCTTGCTCTGCGCTCCAGCTCCTTCTTGCCGCGCTGTTTTGGGAACCTGTGTTTGACTTGTCCAAGCCTACAATTTTCACTGTGGAGAAGGGATTCTCATTTGAGTTAATGTCTGTGCATGTGCCCTGAGGATGAAGGGCATGTGATTTTTTTTATTTTTAAATCCTAAGCAAATGCATATCTTTGCCACTTGTAATCGTGACAAAGCTTAAATAATTCAGGCATGAGCGTGCCTTTCTTTTTTTCCAGTACAAAACAAGATTTATTAGTTGACAGCATCTGCCCAAACAGACTCCTTCCTCAGAATATTTACAGCTAGAATTCATGTTTGCTTAACCCAAGTAGGCTTGGTGAATATATCACGTTTGATCACTGGGGACATCACAAAATAACATTCAATATGTGGGGGTTTCTTGCTCATTTTGACACAAATAGTAAACAAGGATACCCCACAGAGAGGTGTGGAAACCCTTTGCCCTGGCATCTGGTTATAAGAAGTACCCGTATAGGGCCCAACCACAGCCACCACCCTGACCTACAAAGCAGCCCTTCTCAACCTGTGTCTTGACCCCTTCGGGGGTTGGACAACCCTTTCACAGGGGTCACACATCAGACACCCTGCATGTCAGATAGTTACATCACGATTTATAACAGTAGCAAAATTACAGTTGTGAAGTGGCAATGAAAACAATCTTATGTTGGGGTCAGCACAACATGAACTGCATGAAGGGGTCGCAGCATAGGGAAGGCTGAGAGCCACTGACATAGAAGGACGTGACACTATCCACTCATCTCCAGGGGGCCTGAGATGGATGACTGCCGTTGCCATCAGCAGTTATTAGCCCAGACAGAGGAGCCACTGACTTGGCTTAATAGCATCACCACTGATTCTGTATCCCAATAATGCTTTGTGAATGTGTAATGTGACCTTCTAGCCTTCCGACGTCATTCATGGGGACTAGCTCAACAGACACTGGGTGTCCACGTGCCAAGGTGTTTCCATCACCCTTCTTCAACTCTTCTTTAAGGGCTCTGCTTTATAGATGATAGTTATATAGTAGTTAGCTTGGTGCTTGTAACTTCACATAACCGTCTAATTCTAGACCGCCTTGGTAAAGAAGAAATTAGCACATGGACACTCCATTCTAATTTTCTGTCGCTGTCAATGTTGTTAGCCAGAGCATCAAGTGCCCTGATGTGGGGGTGGGAAAGAGGGCTCCACCACTGGTGTTAGTGACACCAGAGCTACCATTTCCTTTCTGGAGCACTTGTGAGAGAGGAGTGTGCTTCAACAGAAGGCGACTTGCTGTGGATCAGGTAGGACTCACTGTCCCGACAGCCTACCCCACTGACAGAATAACACCTATAGGCTAGAGATCGGCAGGGGTGCTTCCCGCACAGTCAGCTGCCAATCACTTCTGAGGGAGAAGATAGAATTCAGACTGAAGCAACCCAGTTGGGAAGCCTACTACCTATGCCGAGGTGTTCCGATGGCTTTTCTCCTCTAAACAATTTCTAGGGTGCGCGAACGCTTTGCTAACCTCGTTATTATCAGGCAGCTCGTACAGAGAATAGAGTCACTGGAAAACTGGCAAACCAGGAAAACATTAATTCATTGGTGCATTGTTAAAATTAATTAACAACGGCATATTGGTGATGCAATAGGCAATTAAAGACTGTATGAGGAGAAAAATGTAAAGATTGCATATTTAAAAATAACCTCAGAGCATTTCATAAAAATGCTAGCTTATATCTGGGCTCTGAGGGTGGAGGTGGATATGGTTTCTTTGTAGAAAAGAATCTGTCTTGCTTTCTTAAAATAAAAACTTCTTGTTATACAGTGTGTTAAATAATTTTTTTTTCTGTTTTTAAATCTGCTGGTGGGATCTTTAAAAAAAAATCTACCAAGCTAACCTATTTTTCACATCGGAGACGTAGCCACACTGGCTTTGTAGAAAAATATAATTTGCTTATGAAGTGTTTCTTTAAAATCCTGAATAAGCAGCCATTTAACAGTTTTGTTCCATGTGTTAACATTTTGTTGCAAATTAAGCTCTAAGTGTGTGTGTGTGTGTGTGTGTGTGTGCGCACATGTGTGTGCATGCATGTTTATGTGTATGTATGAGAGAGAAGAAAGAATGAAAGGGTCTGTGCATATGAGTTCTTGAAGGATTTTTAAAATTAAAATACAATAATTAAAAATAATTTAAAAATAATTTCTCATAATTATGAATTGGATTCTATAGACAGCGATCCCAGTTTATTGCATACAGTCACACTAGGTCCCATCAATCCTGAGCAGCGGGGGAGGTGGCACTGAGGAAGACATGAAATTTGGTGTCTGAGTAGATGAGATTTAATTTGGGGGAGACATTTCACTCATAAAATGGATATCAGCCCCGACCTCCTAATGTCAATGCCATGGTGCAAGTGTAGCTCAAATAAACCTCAAAGTAAAACAAAGGGACATCGCCTCTGGACACACACCGCCTCCCCTCCAGCGTGTACCGTCCATTACCTTTGGTATTCCTGTAACTGGCTTGTTCGCTTTGGAGGGGGAGGGGGAAGACAAATCCCTCCGCGTTTGCTATGTTTGGAACACGTACAGTATGCTGCTGTAAATCTTACTATTATTTAGGTCAATATCCTAAAGATAGCTTTAATTGTTTATGAGGGCAAGCTGTACATCCTAAGGAAGCTGACATAATTTCTTTTTCTGTACTGATTTTCTTGGGCTTCTCACTGTAAGGAAAGTCTCTTCCATCTTCATACAATTATGTCTGCAGCGGTATCTGCCGTTCTGTTCTGCAGATCCATTTAGCTGGATGCATTTACACTGCCTGTGGTTAAAGGTTATAGAACGGATACAGACAACTGATCATGCATTCTTCTACAAACCTGCCGCCACCTTAGGGTTTTGAAAAAAAAAAAACAATCTACAAATGCTATTCCCTTTTTCAGAATCCGTCTTCACTCGGCAGTAGCTTAGCAGGTTTGGGTTTTTTTTTTTTTTTCATTTTTTTTTCTGCTGCTGCTAGCAATTCTATGAAATTAACAGACTATAAAATGCATCCCCAAGCAGATACATACTGTATTGCAAGCTTTCTCCAAGAAGAGGACATGACTGTGCTCATTCCAGCTGATTTTCTTCCTTAGCAAAAGGACTGCTTGATTTTTCAGAAGCAGAAGGACTCCTTCATTGTGCAGCCGCTCTGCTTCAGTGCATGGAATGCCTTCTACTGCCTGGTTGCAGAATTTGGAGTTTGCTAAACAGTGGTTAGTGATTGGGCTCATCTTGCATCACCAGTTGATGACATTTTTCTTTGTTCCCTCCTACCCAGTTGAGCCAAGACTCTGAGGCTGATATGCAATGTCACTTACAACATTAATCAGATACTGCATTTAAGGTGAGCTGTCCCTTGCCTCCTCCTCCTTCCCTCGCGCTGGCTCGCTTGTGGGCTGCATGCAGTGCGTATCTTGCTTGTGTGAGCCTAAGATGGCAGGCAGGATTAGCCGTGCTGTGCTGTGTGTGCGTGCTGTGTAGAATTCATTACATGTTGCCTAGTATTTCAGATGTGAGTATGTAAACGCTCTCTATGCCATATTATCTGGTAGCGAAGCCTGGCTTTGCATCATTACAGCCTTCGTTATTTCGACATCACCCTTCTTTTCGGGTTCATTTGCTGCTGGAGGTTTGCTTTCCATCACATTCAAAATAAGATTCTGTCTGTCTCTCTCTCTCTCTTTTTTAAACAAAGCCAAATAAATCCCACAAAACCCTAAAACCCAAACAAGAACAACAAAACTCTGCTACCAGATGGTGTCTCCCCCTTTCTCCTTGCATTTGCTGTCTTTTAAATAATGTATGTTGTATTGTTAATTAATGTGAATATCAAATTAAACACTTGAAACTTACATGTTTATTATGCAGGTAGGAGGCCAGGTGGACTCTATTTTTAACTCCTAGGTACCGCATCGTGTGCGAGCAGCGCCGGTCCTGCCTCGTATTTGTGTTTTCAGTGCTGGGATCAGTGGTTTGATTTTCAGCAGACTGTGACTGTGGCCTTTGCAGTGGTCAGCTCCGAGCTTTGAGCTCTCAGAGGAGCAAGGGAGGAGAAGAAAATCCAACACACCACCTCCTTGGTTGCAGCCTCAGAGAGTCCTTGGATAAGAAACTTCTTCCTTCAGTCCTGCTTTGCCGTTGATAAATTCAGTCCTCGTGATCACAGCACACTCAAGCTGCTCTGCGTGTGATGCTTGGTGTGTGTGACCATCGCATCTAAAACTCGTGAGCAGGAAGACGGAGAAAGCAGTGGTCTCCATCGCCTTACATAAAAATGGCCGAGTGTCTTGCTATGCTAGCACTGCCCTGAGCGACGCGCACAGGTAGGTTGGAATTTTGCATGCTTTATAGACTTTGTTTTTGAGCCATGCAGGAAAAACACTAGATGCATTAAAATATGACTTTTAAAAATTGAAACTAAGATACTTGTAATATGTTGGAGATGGCATGAAGCTAAATAGCCCCTTGTATCCAAATACTACAAAAACACAAGCATAAACCTATAAAGAGGCTCTGCTGGAAAAGTGAGATGGTTTCTGTTTAAAGAAATTCAGTTGTATTTTAGGTGTGGCGCCACTAGACAAAAGAATTTTTTTTTTTTGAAAAGTCTGGTGATTTGGCTCAATTTTAGCTTGAAACTAAAAAACAAATGGGTTTCTGAGATAATCCCCAAGAGCGTAAATAAGTTCAATAGGAACTATCAAAAATGTTTAATCTTTAAGAAGCGGACTTTAGCTGTATTGTGTGAAATATGAAAATTAAAAATTAAATTCTTTCAAAATCATATTTTTGTCGTATACAATGATACATCCACCATTTGTATGTGCATGTAGCTGGGGGGCAGGGCGTTATCATTTTTAAAGGGGGAAATGTTAAGTTTCCATGGCCCTCCCAGCAGAAATCGAGCTCCATTAAATGAAGCTGAACCCTTAGCATGGCTCCCGGCAGAAATGCAGCTGCGACTCCCTGTGTACCAAATCCTGGTATTTTTCAAAATCATTTCACAAGCTCTGTCCTTTGAGCTGAACCCCTCAAAAAATATTCTAGTTTCAAATTAACACTGGGCCAGAACCTGTTTCCTTGGTAACCAACTCGTATTTAAAAATGCAATAACAGATATGCACAAGAATGTGTTAGAAATGGAGCCACTTGCCAAGCGAGAGCCTTGCAGTTCCGTGTCCTCTCACACAGAATGGGCACTGGCGTTCTTTTTTAAATGGCAGTCTTCAACCCTTAACATCCCAGCTGCATTTCTAAATCTGCAGAGGCTTGCTCAGTGGCAGCTTTTCCCTTCCCCCTTTGTGCTCAGCACGTTCTCAATGAAGGTTTCTCCACACGCTCTAGAATGCAATCCAGGTTTGTGGAGAGAGGTGTGAGTTCACGAGCGCCGCTGAAACAAAAGCCATTTCAGAAATTCTAAGAATCAGCCAATACCTCTGCTTATACCTTCCTCAGCCCTCCATAGTGACCTCCCAGCTTAGGGTAGAGCTGCACCCAAACCCAAGCCTTCCCTCCCCATGACAGGTGTCTGTTGAGCCCTCATGGGAGTGTCTTTGGGGCTGCTGCCAGCCCTGAACCCTCCGGGAGATACTCCCAGGTGAAGAAGTTTGAGATTCAGAACCATCTATGTAAATAGGCTCTTGTTTCCAGCAGTCTGCTTCATTTCCTACAGCAACATCTGCAGTCAAATCTCTCATGGGTTAAAGAGTGGCTGTTGTTTATTGTTGTTGTGTTGTTTTGAGGCCAACTAAGTTATTGTGCTTGGAATCATTATGTGACTCAGTTATATCAAAGCATGATTCCCACAGTGATTTGTTCTCTGGACTTGCCACAAAATAGCCGTTTTCCTGCAACATCTTTTTTTTTTTTTTAAATCTGTTTGGGAGCCATTTTGTTTCTTGCCTGTGACTTAAAATGACTAAGTGCATTTCGAATATACTGTCTGTCAGGTTGCAGACTGAAAGGAAATGTCAGAAGCCCAGTAAAGAATGGACATTTATTTTAGGACCGGCAGCATTAACAGTTTCAGGAGGATGGGGCTAATTGTCACTCACTCTTGGACGAGCATAGTGAGCTCTCAGCATCTGTAGTTTAAACACTTGCTGCTCAGAAAGAGTCTAGTAGAATGTCTTCCATCTTTATAGGCCAGGACAAATTAATCCTTTGAAATGAATTTGAATCTTAGCTACAAGATTAGATGGATGAAATGCAGTGGCTGTTTTAGCATGCATGCCGGACGGATCCCACGCTCAGAGGATGTTGATCCTTTTGTTTCCTACTTAAGCGTGGTTGCGTCATCGTGTAGATTTTCAGATCTAATGATTTTTTAAGTGACATTATTCATTTGAGTTGCTCTAAAAGAATTTCAAACATAATTCAAATATAATTCATAGAGCCAGAAAACCAAATACGACTGTTGGGAAATACACTGCGCCGCTATCACTCTAATAAATAGACCAGTGAATGGAAGAATAATTATTATTTATTACTTTGTCGTGTCACTTAGAGCGATATTTGCGAGGCATAAAGCTTTCCTAAACTTACCCATTTACAATTATTATTGGATTTCCTAGATTAGCCGAAATGCGGGAAAGTGGCAGTTACTCCTGGCTATCTGACAGAGTAGGTAGGCTTAACCCCTTCACACTTTTCGGCTGAGGTATTTGCGCTGGGCAGGCCGGAGCAGGTGCAACAGGAGAATGCAAACAACTGCTTTGTTCTACCAAAATGCAGTGGGCAAGTGTGTGGTTTTCTGCCTGAATGATTTATGGTATAAAACTCTCAACTCTAGTTTCTCTTTGGGGAATAGAAAAATGTTTTTCCAAGCTTTAACTCACTGGTGATGTGTAAGGCTTCATCTCTTGCTTCTACACTGGTGTGGATCTAACTCAGACCTCTCTGAGGACCTCCTGTAGCTAGAATGGCAGGCAGGCCACAGCATAGGCTTGGCGTCTCTTTATTGTTTTATATGTTGGGGGTGGGGATCTAGAAAACACCCAGCACCTTTCTCTTTATTACTAAATCATGCTGAGTCCCATGCGGCGGCCCATCCTAATGACTGCTTTCCAAGGCTAAATATTCAGCACTTTTACTGAGCACCTACTATCTACCAGACATATTCTAGAAGCTAGAAATACAATAATTGACAAGACAGACCAGAGCTTGCTTCTCATGTTTCTGCCTCCAACATGGCAGGGTAGACAGTAGGGAAGTGGCCAAAAAGACCCTGCAACAACAACAACAGCATGGAGGCAAATAGCGAACAAACCCAAGAACAAGAAGGAAAAGTAGCTGGGTGCAGTGGTACAAGCACCCAGTGTATTTGAGCACTGGGCTAACCTGGGCAAGTGACCCTGTCTCAAAACAAATAACGAAGAGCTAGAAGTTTTTTTTTGTTTGTTTGTTTGTTTTAAAAAAAGAGCAAGGATGATGTACAGAACGATGTGCTGTAGGGAGGACCACCTGAATGGCTGGTTTGGGAAAGCCTTCCGGGGCTGTGGCACTGGAGTGGAGACCTGCAAGGTAAGGATGCAGCCGGGCAAGGAGCTGGTGGAACTGCACCATGTGCAGCAGAGTGTGCAAGCATGAGCTGCAACCCTTTCTCTGTGGACCCGTCAGCCTCCTAAAGCCAGGCTTCACAGCTTCGTGGCTGCTCCTGCCTTAGCGAGCTCCTGAGGTGAAGGCAGCCCAGGCCCCTGCGGGTGGCTGCTTTCGGCCTGTCAGACACCAGCCATGCCTGCCTTTGACCCTGGCAGCACCCTGAGTCTACGTGGGAAGGTAGAGTGGAACTCTTGGCACTGCACCCCAAGGAGTGATGCAATGCTGGCGCAGATCCAATGTCAACTCAGTAACGGCCTCTTGGAGCAAGGAATGTTCTGGAAAGTATCTTGTTTTGTTTTTCATAAGGACTCCAGGATTTAAGCTCATGCCAAAACACCGAGACTTCCATTTCTTTTTCTTTTTTTTCTCAAGGGCAAAATGCTCGAAGGGTCTACATTTCAACTGGCCAGTAAACAGCCTTTGTCTTGAAAAGCCTAACACACTCGGGCTCTGCCGTGGCTTGCAAAGGCCTTATGGCATCATTTTTTTCTCTGATATAGCAACAGGGCTAAGAAAGGTCTTCGGAGACACTGTTCTTCCATGCCTGTCAGGTTAGTCGCTGATGGGGATCAGAGAACAGGAATGATCCGTTATACAAGTTAAACACTCTACGGTCCTTAAAAGCCTTCTGAACATTCTAGAAGCACTCTCTAAAACTGATCCGTAACTTAGCAGATTACACAGTACACCAGAGGTGGCCTGGCTGGTTCTTCATACTTCATTGGTTTTACGAAACATCCTGCTGCAGGACAAGCTTGTTCTCGTCCTTTGTGGGAGAGAATCGCCTGCCACGGGTGGAAGCAAGAGATGCTTCAGCAGTTTGGTTCACCCTTCGTGTGTTTGCCTAGCTAGCATTTCCTGGGTAACGGACACTGTTGTCGGCCAGGCAAAATGGATATGACAGTGCCCCCACGGGACTCTGTTCAGGTCCCCACACAAGGCTAGATAATGGTATGGACAGGCACAGTGACGTATGCTTCCTGTTGCAGAAAGAAATCTTTGTTACCGTTCCCTGAAGTCGATTCTTCAGTTTACAGGCAGCTCAGCCAATGGCAAGGACAGGTCTTCCTTCGCTTGGACTTGGTGTCTTTTCTCTTACCACCTC